AGGAGTCAAAGGCTGTTCATGTACCATCTGCTCAGGGAATAACAAAGCATAAATACAGGTTAAATTGGATTTTTTATTTAATTTGTAAGGATGTTGAAGTTTTATCAGTATTGGAAATAATATCAGATTCCCCTCTGCTCTCCTGAATGTTCCAATTTGCACTTCATTATGCTCATGTGCCTTTGTGTATTCTCTCTGGATTACCTAATAAACTGATAAATTCCATAAACACCCACCCCTGCTTTCATTAGAAGGCACTGTTGTTCATTGGTGGTTAAAATCTAACAGTTACGTTGAATCTTGAATCAAAGTGATTGTTTATGTTGGAAGTGTCCCAATGTAAAAAGTACTGGAAACCCTACAGGAATTTAATATCCAAAGTGGACACCCATCAAAGTGCCTAGTAAAAACCTGAAATTAAATTTTGTACTTCTGTGGCATATGTCATTAAAATCCATTGCATTTGCTAGTTGTCACTGATCATAAATCAGAAACTCTTTTGACATTTTCTGTTTTGGAACTAACTGAATAATTTGTGAAGGAAGAAGAAGAAGAAGAATTTGCTATGTAGACTATCCCATTGTATTTTCTTGAATTACGCACAGCAGGATGCATACTATGGAAGTCAATAATTTATATTATTCATATGATTTATACGTCAAATCACCTTCCTTTAATATTGTGTTAAATATCTTGAATATTACATTGCAGTTTTCAAGCTGATGTATTATTTTACTGTTCCTTCTCCTTGGAACAGTTTTAACATTCACTTCACTTTCTTGTCAGGTATTGAGTATTATTTGTTATTCAGAAGGCTTGAAATCTTATCACAAACTATGTAAAACTTTAAGCAAGATAAATATCTTATGTTCACTCTATGAATTATATTGATTTTGTCTACTCAAGGGATATAGAACATATCAAGATCCTGCCTTTGGGGATTTTGTAAGTATTTTGTTAGTATAATTCTTTCAATATCATATTTCAGATCAACAGTAATCAAGGAAATGTTGTGAAGACTAATTTGTGTATAGGCCAAGGCAAGTATTAAAGATTAAAATGAATCAGACTGCATGTTGAAGTATGTATAAATTATGCAAATAACAAAGAATTAGTTCAAAGGCACAAAAAGATTTGTATGCAATTTAATATCAGGCCATAGATGTCATACTTTTAGACAAGTTTGCCAGATCTGTTTCAGAGAACTTCAAGGTTGATGGCTCAAAATAAGTCAATAATTACATCTCTGAGATCATGTGAAAATATACTGTCGAAACACTATAACAAGATGATAATAATCTATACAAAATTTTAATATATACTGTACTTCAGTCTTCTACAAAATTCCCATAATGTAACAAATTTATATACATAATTCTTGTTATAAAGTGTTTTCGTTCAGATGAATGTGATTTATAACTCATAAATTATTCTGTACATTGTATAACTTGGGTATCAAAACTCTGGAAATAACATGTTTTTCAGTCCATTAATTTCTTTAACTTAATCACTTTTCAGTTTTCACTGTTCAGGTTTAAATCCAACAAATACAGAAAAGAAAAGTACTTAAAATGCAAACACTTTTATTTCTAAATATTTTTGTTTTCAATTGCATTTTCTTCCAGTTACATTTTCCTGAGAATTTCCAAATCACACTCTTCCATTATAGTAAGAACAGGTAATTGGCAGTTGCTTCCCTTGTTCATTAGTTTTTATATTATTTCTGCTGTAAATATATTAATAAATTTGTTAGTGACATGTGTATCCTGTCATGTGTTATTGTTAGTTTCTGTAACTTTATAGCAATATTATGATAGTTAGTTAACTATACATGTTGACATGAATATATCAGTGCCTTCACAATATTATATTTCCTCAAATCACGTCCACCACCCATATGTGCTTCATTTTCTTTGCATAAAAGCAAGCACATTTTAATTTATATATCTTGAATTTTAATGCATAACATCATATCACAGTTCTACAACAAATCTACCAAATTGTAGCCTGCATGACAAAGGTTGCCAAAAAAGAGTAAAAATATGTTATATGCAGAGATTCATAATTCATCATTTTAAAACTTATTAACTGGCCTTATGACATTTATTTCAGTAGTGTCACAAAATGTAGAATATGTATTGCCAACGATGTTCTTGAGAACAAAGATGATTTCAAACACATGAAGTAGGAATTCTGGAAATTTTAAATCCATGGCCATCACATAATCCACTGTCAACTGAACTATTACAATATATATATAATTAGATATGTCTATAGTTTCAGCATTTTGAAAACTTTGACTGTCTGTTTTTATTACATTTGAATGCTAGAAATGTGATTACCATATTACCACGGAACTATTTTAATATTAACTCAGAATAAATATTATGATATATCATGCATATATACATTTCCTGTGTATTTAATGTGTGTAAGTGGATATGAAATTAGAAGCAACACACAAGGTGATAAAGCTTTGTAATTATGCAAAAAATACAGGATTGCTAAAAGGAGGTCGTGTTACTTTTATTTATATGTTAACAGTAAAAAATTGATAAATATTTCTTAACAAATTGCAAATGTAGAACAAGGGTCATACTGTCTTCACTACTTTATGAACACTGTGAATTTTAGTATATTGTTTTTTCCTTCTTTAGTAGGTACTGTGGAATATACTGTGTCTTGGAAACTGAATTTGAACATTCTTCTGCAATTTATTGTTTGAGATTTTTTGGGTATTATAAACAAGACATTGCCTTCCAAAATGTTTACAGGGCTCAGTTTAACCAGGCCACACCACAAACTAAACACTTCTTACCGCCTTAATGCTTAATTTTTAACTTTCAGAAGCATTCTGCATTTATGGTCTGTATCGTATATTTATTTTCTATATTTATATTCACAGATGACTAGTTCCTGAATGCTTTCTTAACAAATCATGATATAATTCAAACTTTATTGTACAGTTGTTTAATGGTTAAGTTTTGAAGAATGTTATCTCATGAGATAAGATGCCACATATTCTAATATAAGTTTACTGATGTTTCAGAGGAACATGCTACCTCCATCTTCAGGGTTGAAAAGAAAACCAAGCAAGTAACAGGCAGCAAGCAGATCGAAATGTGCAAGGGAAACTTGGTTCAGGTATAGGCCTGGAAGGGGGCCCAGAGAAAAGCAATAAAAGCAAGAAGAATCATATGTATGTATATATTGACTTAGGGTAACAACCTTCAGTTGCCTTAAGCACTTGGAAAATTATTGGGTCTATTGTTCACCCTTGACCTTGTTCAGGTGCTTCAGAGAGCATCAATTATAATGCTAGAGCAAAACTATCCAATCTGTAAGCTACATGTCTCGTAGGAGTTGTTTGAAGGTATAGTTAAAAAAAAAATTAAGAGTGATTTCTGTTTTGTAGAAAGTAAACTGTGTTTAATTCATTCATTCACTTGAGATCAAAACTTATTACACAGTGAAGGCTACTATCTTCTGAGATATAACACCCTGTAGTCTACTGAAAGTCAACCAACATTTTGGAAGAACATATCCCCTCTTTCTTCATGGCTGAAAAGTAAACTGAGGAAGCTATCGGCATGAAAGAAAGTGGCAAGCAGGCTGGCAAAGCAGGGTGACTCTGCTTGCCATCTGCTTTCATGCTGGTGTCTTACTTGGACTTATTCGACTCTGAAGATGGAGAAGATATATTCCTCCAAAACGTCAGTTGACTTTCAAGGGACTACGCGGCGTTATATTCCGAAAGATAGTACTCTTCATAACCACCGCTGTGAGAGCCCCAAATCTTACTTATTATGCAATGATCAGTTCTATATTGAGATGGAACACGTGTTTTTGTGACTAGGCATCAGTGGCAGCTGTAGCAGCATTTGCGCAGTGGGGATCACTTTAATCCATGGTCAGTCTTTCAGTGTTCATCCAGTAAGTAGATTCCAAAGTGTAGAGAAATTTATTTAATTACTAAGCATTAATTAATTTGAATATGGTGCCCAACAGCAATATATATAGCAAGAGAATTACAGGAGGCCAGAAGCTTGATGTGGGTTTGGTTATCAGTGTATTAAAAGTATGGTCTCAGTCTAGTTATAAGATGGTGGTTAAAAACTCTCTGTATCTAAATATTGTGACATATTTGCTCAAAGAACTGTGGAGCCAAGGAGACAGCCATTGCTAGAGAACGGTTCTAAAACAGCATTAGCTTCTAGGCAATGGCCATGAAACTGACAGTGGAATGATGCCAGTTGCTAGGCAGCAGATTCTTGATAAGCAAGAATTGTACAGCAACAATTGAATAGGCAACAGAGGATCGTTTTCTGTATGGTCCTTGCTGAGGTGTTATAAGTGGGACGATTTGGGGTAACCAGTCAGTTGCTCATTTGGAATGGAGCAGCCGTTCAGAGAGGTCTTGAGCCCGGAAGCAGAAAAATAGCCATTGTTAGAAGCCGTTACCAGGAAACGACTGGTGGAGACTGTAACAGACTGAGAACACTAGTCTGTATGTTGTGGTGATTTGTAAAGTGTGGAGATCAGCAATGGTGCTATAATTAAGTATAAATATGAATTGTGTGTTAAAGTGGTCAATAAATACAATATCCAATCTAAAAAAACCTGTTGAGAGTCACTCATACACGTGATAATATGTTAGAAATCTTAAAAAATATAAACAGAGAACTTGCTCATATTCCTGAAGTAACCATTCCTTGAAAAAACATTAAAATGGTAAAACATATCAGAAACTGGACTCAACATCAAGAATCCCTTACAAAAACATGAATTATTTATAAAATGATGTTATAGTTATGTAGTCAAAAATAATGACAGATTTAGAAGGTGGTCAGTAGGTCAGCTCGATTTTTTTATTTTGTAATGTAAAATACAAAATTCATCTCAAAAGATGTTTAACATTTACATCCATTATCTACTTTAACTATTTATCTTCTGATCATTCATATCTCAAGTATTATACTGAGTGTTATTTTGGTTTTGAGCCCACCATTCAGATATCCTGGATCAACCTAAGTTGAACAGTGAATTTGGATGTTGATTTCGTTTTCATCTTTTATGAGGCAGTATCATCTTTGTCTTTTTCGTCATGTTTCTCACTCCCACTGTTCACAGCAACAAAATCTTAAGAATGACATGGTCCTGAATGGCGTAATTTTGATTTTTGTTCAAACCTGAATGAATTAAATTTCTCCTCTAACAAAGCATGCATTTCATTCATTATACAGAAAGGGGCTGTAGCATTTTAGCATACGGAACTCAAAATATTTCGCCATTATATGAACGCATTTCCACTAAACAAATAACAGACATGTGCCCTCACATAGCTTAATATAAGAAGGCTTGTGGGTAAACCCATCTGTTTGCATATGTGATTTACAGTGTCAGAATTTGATACATTGCCTGATAATTGTGTTTTTTGCCAATAATAATTTGTGTTACAAGTATGTTATATCAAGTGTTTGTGTCCTATAATATGTCTTATTCCTTTATTATTTTCTTAATTCTATTAAATAAAACAGATTGGAAAGAGTGAAATAATTGCGTATTGTTTTAGGTGCCCATGCTCTTAGCTGAAGAAGTAGCTAAGGGATTCAACCCTCGAATATAAAACATAGTTCACAATTTTGCCTGTAGTAGTTACAGTTTAGGCTGGGAGACAGTTTGTCAGACCAGATCATCTCTGTCTAGAATTTTATTATGTTTTGAGCTTGTTCTTTAGATTGCTGCAAAAGCAAATTTAATATCACTGATTTTGAGAATCAAAGAGGGTGATCCTTTCACAAATGTCTTGTATTTAATTTCCATCCTTCAGTTGGTTCAGAAGAAACAAGAAACCAGCTTGGTTAAAGATGTTCATTGGATGTTACAAATGCAGGAAAGAAAAAGTGGCTTATGCCAGCTGCAATAAATACTGTCTTATTAAAGAATTAAATATACAGATTATGTCAAGTGATGGTTAGTGGAATGATCCCCACTATCCCAAAAGTAAAAGCTGCCACTGACAGACACTGCGTGACTTGAATTTTCAGGATAGTTTTCTTAGCATAACAGTTGCAACTCATTAGTTGACCAGATTTGTCTTGCAGTGCTCTTGAAGTTAATTTATCTATTCAGAAATACTGAGTTTTGCCTTCTTGGCCTGTACAAAATAGGCTCAGGAACGTGTTATGTGTCAGATTCATGGGTACTGGAAACACTAAAGAGCTACCCTATGGATGTGACTCACTGATCTTTCCCAATTAGTCTTACTTTATATTGTCTAAACAGGTTTCAGAGGTGATGTTGCTTAAAGAAAGACAGAAGGGGTGCAATTCTGTAATGGTGAACTGGTCATTGGATAACTTTAAGTAAACTTAATGTTGATTTCTCTAGACTTCATAGTAGTTTCAGTATCATTATGTAGGATTGCATATGCCTACAGTTTTAAGATTATGGCCTTATGGGATGTGGTGCGTGGCATTTGGCAAAGAGGTACCAGAATTTTTGCAGGAACGTGCTTCCTCCGTCCTCAGGGTGTACTTCTACAATAAAAAGGAGGCAGCAGGTTCCTGCAAAATTTTAGTATGTATGTGTCTAACAAATTACATGATGTCACACACCAGAAGACCAAAATCTTTATAGTCACTGCTATGAGAACATCAAAAGTCATTTAAATTGTTGTTACAAAGTTTCTTCATTTTTGCTGGTGTCAGAATAATTTTGGAATTAATTAACTTTAAATTATTGTCCTGGTGTCTTTTTAACCATTTTATTTGTGACCTTGATGTGCAATAAATAAGCTATTGATCAAATTTTAGCTTTTCTTACAATTTATACCAAACTAAAATCTAACATAGAAAAGGATCGTTATTTAATTTCTGTAATTGCATAAGTTAGAATTCAGGTTCTTATTTTGCAATGTAAATCTTTACACTTCTTCACAGTATAAATTTGCACTGTCAATTTAAGAATTAATGCTGTAAATATTTCGTGTGATTCATGTAGTTTGTGTTGGATTTGAAGTTCTCACTACAGTGCCTGTGAAGAATTACTACCTCCTGGGGTAACACAGTGTCACATCCCAGAAGTTAGTACTCTGCATATACATTTTAAACCCCCCACTAAATTGTGTCTAAAACATTTCTGAGGGTATCTCATATCTTTAATATATAGCCTTACAGAATAGATCTCTGGTATAGTGATTTTGATTCCCACCAGATATTGAAAATAAAATTTTGTAACTTTGTAGCTAGATGTGACAATCTGGTTACTATTCAGTAATGATGCACCCTCAGAAATGTTTCAGACAATCAATATAAGGGGATATAAGCAAGGAATTAAACATTATGGACATGTATGGTGATGGTGGTTATTGGTGGTAGTACTTTATGTGATATTTGTGGTTGTTATCATAACCACTGTGGTGCAGAGACTAGACATCAGATGGTTTTCCTGTAGGTGGAAACTGAAGGTAGCCAGCCTTGATGCTATTCGCGTCTTGCTGTACTAGTGATGAACAGCTTGAAACTTGATCTCCAAATAGTTGTCGGTAATAGCTGAACACCACTAGCAGTAAGCATAGCCCTGGACATAGAGATTGGGGCTATCATATCATGGGGGGCAAAGCATTGTAGCCTGTGTCATTGGTAGTGAAAAGCAAAGAAAGTAATGAAATGGGTGGCTGGAGGAATGAGAGAACCTCTTTTTTTAAGCATTTTTTATAAAGTACATAAATCTAACACATAATGGGGAGGTCATGTGTGCATATTTAATCTGCAAAACTATTCAGCAAGTTTTAGATGGAATTGAGGAGGCAGTAACCATAAAAGTGCTAGCTTTAATACAGTATGCGCCGAAATATACAGTACTGAAATGAAGACGTCCTGTTGATACCACTGTCTATTCATGTGAAGGCCCCTTGCATGACAGAACCTTCTCAAATCCTGAAGAAATGGTTCGATCACCATGTCCATGTAGTGTTCTTGGGTGACAGTAAGAGCATTGCCTTGCTCATCCTCAATGAAATAGGGGCCTAATGTACTGTGTGCTGAGATGGCACACCATATTGTCACACGTGTACTATGTAGCGGTTTCTGGACGATAACATCTGGCCACTCAAAACGAAGGAAGCGAGTTGTCTGGCAACCACTTCCATATGAGCGGAAGTAATATTCAACTATGAATACGTTTTTTGGCCGCGCCATAGATCAAGTGGTTAGTCGCTGGCTTCCCACCACGGCAGCTCAGGTTCGATACCGGGTCTGGTCAAGTGGGATTTGTGGTGGACTAAGTGGCGCTGGGACAGGTTTTCTTCGAGTACTTTGGTTTCCCCTGCCAATCTTCATTCCACCAGTTGCTCCACAATCACCCTCACCTATCACTGGTCGCTGGTACAATAGGCCAGAAGTGGCCGCAGTACAAGGGACTTAGTCCCATCCCACTAGCAATAAAAAAAATGAATACTTTTTTTTTTGTTGTTGAGAGACCCATTTCCAGCAACAACTGCACAACACAACTGCCTTTTCACTACTGGGATCACGTGCGGATGAAACTATACCCCGCCGACAAACGCGCTATGCGCATTCAAGATGCGCAAGTTTCAGTACTTCATACTTTGACACATACTGTACTTACAGTGGCAAACTTCTATTTTCGGTTGTCATAGCTACCCTTCTTTTATGGGCAATAATAAAAAACTTTCTAAGAATTTTGTTATATGGGTAATAATAAAAACTCTCCAAGAATGCCGGGTGCAGAGGAAAAAACATATGCCTCTTGTAGTTAGATGCAACACATTTAGTAGAGTTCAAAGTTGCTGACGCTTGACACTTGCACTTGTAGGGTTAAAAATGCATGCTCACATCATATACTCATATAATGTCTGTCTGCTCTCTAGATATATGGAGTGTTCTTCAAGTCCAGTGGACTAGAGCTGCATGGAAGACCAATAGCAGGAAGTTTGACAGATCTTGTGATATCATTTACTAAATAAATGCTGTTATTATACCGCTGATTATTCTCAAAATCAGTGTGGAATATGCAAATGTTATATGACACAGCATACATACATACCTTATGAGTCCTTGTAACTTTTATCCAAGACGTTTTACTTTCAGATCAATACATAGAAGGCTACATGGCAAGCGGTTGCATAGTTGGTTGAGGCACTATCCTACAAGTTAGAAGGTTGCAGCTTCAATTCCCATTGAGGTCACTGGATTCTTCAACTGACCAAATCCTCCCAGATGCACTCTGGTCCTGGGTTCAACTTAACCTCTAACAGAAATAAGTACCAGGAATCTTCCTGGGTGGTAAAAGTCAGCCAGTGCATAAGGCTGATAACATCACCATCTGTGAGCCGATGGTCTAGAAAATGTGGGAGCCTCGACCTCTCACAACCCTATGGGCCTCCATGGGCTGTTACATGGATAGCTTTACCTTTTTTACCTTTTCACTTAGAGGGGTACACCTAAAAATGTATTAAAACCGTTTAGAAAGTTAGGCAAGAAATACGCTGAAATAAATGATATTGACACATGGCGATTGTTCTATAACACGAATCAAAATATGTCAAAGCATTGAAAATATTTGTAGCTTGTAGAGCCATTATTAGGCAGTACCTGCGAGATAAGCAAAAACACCAGAGCTGTTGCTGTTTAACGCCTGCAAACAAACACGCCTCCACAGGAACAAATCAACACGCAACAATAGAGGAACTGTTGGAAACGGTGTTTTCTACAGTGAATGATGTCAAGATGTTAAAAAGTGGGACTAAGTGAAGATTTCATGCAGTTCAGGTAGTTAAGGGATATTCGCCAAATGGTAAGGACATAAGCAGAAGACAGTGTTAAGATCAGTCACCAGGAAATGGATAGTGAAGACTAAGAAGACTTTATGTGTGCTGTAGTTACAGTGCTATTTGGAGTGCATAGCTCAGTGAGACTGTTATACTTGCAGTTACCATCTGTAAGTAGTCAATAAATCCAATTATCCAAAACCCCATTGAGAGTCACACTCATACATGTGACAATATGCATAAATGTTCATGTAGGTCCTTAAGTAAAATATCCTTTAAAATGAAATAAGTGAAACATAGTACTCTTATAACAGAAATGTCATATTTCAAGTTGGGTTTTGGATTGGATGATTGGATTTATTGACACCTTGTACATACAACTCGAGACTACAGGTAATACAGTACTATCGCTGATCAGTACACTTTACAATTCACCATTCTATATGCACTAGGATTCTCAGTCTCCATTAATCATATCCTGGCAACAGATTTATAACAGTCCCACTGTAACTTCAAATCAAATCTTCTTTTACAGTCTAATTCCTTTCTTGCTAATTCTTATCAATTACTTTTAACTTTTGACTCCCTCAACTGTGACAACAACTTCTCAATTCTAATTGTAGATGCCTGTAATCGGAGTTATATAGCATATGGGTGGACGCCATAGAAAACAATGTCTTCTATTGTTGAGTATCAACCTCATTGGGATTCGATCCCGCAACCTTCCAGCTTGGAGCATAGCGCCTCAACCTACTATGCTGCCACATGTATATACATATATAATGATGAAATGGATGATGAAATAACAATGTTATGTTGCATTCATAGAGACTTAATATGTGCAGAGCGTTCAAGAAAAGGTAATAAGTCTAATCTTGCATCAATCATAATCTTCTCATAAAATGAGAAGTTCATGAGTACAGCATGAGGGAGGGTGGGAAGGTTTGGTCTTGATGCCATGAAAGTCAGAAATTTTAGACAGGAAGAATGGGAGAGAGATCTACAGTTAATTTACAAGTACCTCTGTATATGACAAAGCTCATTTTGTAAAGCTGACAAAATTAAGGGAACAACATGCATGGATAATTTTTAAATTGTATAACCTATACTGTATGCTGTAAAAGTAAAGCTAAGGTAAAGCTATCTCTGTAACAGGCCGTGAAGGCCCATAGGGTTGTGAGATGTTGAGGTTCCCACATTTCCTAGACAGTCGGCTCACAGATGGCGGTGAGGTTCTCAGCGTTACACGCTGGCCACCCTTTACTCCCAGGAATATTCCTGGTAGTCATTTCTGTTAAAGGCTGAGTCGACCCCAGGACCATAGTTTGGCTGGAAGGATTAGGTAATTTGAGAAAATCCACCTCATTTGGATTCGATCCCGCAACCTTCCAGTTTGTAGCATAGTGCCTCAACCAACTACGCTACCCCGTGCACCCACTGTATGCTCTATTCTTTATATATTACCATGATTACCCAGATCATTCATTATAAAATAGCAGACATGTTATTTGTAGAATTATAAGAAATTGCTGGAAATTATATCAGATTAAAATAATTAATTTTGAGGTGTGACTTACGCAAGAGAACGAATAGCACGGTGACAAGTAAGATGGCAGCTGTCCCACGGCCCAGTAATACAAAGAAGAAAAATGAAGACAGCACCACCACCACTTTGAGTACCACAACACTCATCCATGGCATGAGGCACTGGCGTACATGCTGCAAACAAGAGATGTTATAGTTAAACATGTTCACTGAATGGAATCTGACAATTGAATAATTTTACATGTTTCTGTGCAGCATCTAATGGCTTGTGGGTTTTTATGATACTGCCAGTTGCCAGATTATGTACCATCAAATGGTAGGATGGTTAATGAATGATGGCTTGGAAAGTATTTAGAAGGAAGCAGTGATGGACTCATCTAGGTAATATCCTGGAATATGTCCAGAGGGTCTAAGAATAACTCTGAAAGACCTCAGTCATGGTAGCTACCATCCCAGGCAAAATTTGACTTGAGCACTTTCCAAACACAAGTCTAGCACATTACCACTAGATCATCCTATTTTATTTCATTAACTGGCAAGCTCACATGTTTTATTGCCACAGTTTTTTTGTATAGGGTTTTACAGTGTTGTCATCTCAGACATCAAATGGTAGAATGAATGATGAATAAGGAATGCAAAAGTACACATATCTGGGAGGAAGTAGCCATAGACTAATGGAGGATACTATCCCAGCATTTATCTGGAAGGGCTAGGGAAAGCCACTTTCATCATTATAGGATCCAGTGGCTTTTTAGCTTGCTTTCCTGAAGTAATCTTATGTGATCTTCATCCTGTGTGTCTGTGTATCCCCCCATCAAATTTTGAATGCCTGAACCAGTCTTTATGAAACTTGGTGTGTATATCTGGCAACTGACCCCATTTCAGTGTATATTCCATAAATCCCTCCCCTCAGTCTCAGTCTATATGTGTATCCCACGTATCATTGTTAGATAAAGGCTCGGTAAAGTGTGTCCGACGTTTCATTGCTAGGCAATGGCTTGATAAACACGTTCCCATGACAACAAAGTATTGTTAGAGGCACCGTTTTCTATTCAGTCCATGCTGTATCAAAGAAAAGTAGGCAGTTACTTTTTTCAGAACTTCTTGTTTGTTTCGATATTTCCACTTAGATCAATCTTAAGAATGAAGGAACTTTCCATTGAAAACTTTGGTGCTTCATTTCTGGTTTATAATGGAAGACCCATGTCACATCACCGGCCACTATTTCGTTTCCAAAACATGAGGTTCTTCCAATAATGTTGCTGAAAGATCTGACCAAATTTCAGTTTATGTCATATTTTGATAAACATGTGATCAAACAGATTGGTGTAGCATTAATGTTCCAGACTTGTAACGAGGTGTTCAGTGTGAATCTTCGCTGGAGCATCAGCTGTCCTGACTGAGGTTTTTCACATCCACATCCATATAGGCCTATCCTATTTCTTTAAGATCAATTTTAATGTTACTGCCCCATCTAAGTCTGAGTGGACCAAGTGGCTTCTTTCCTTAAGGATTTTTCACTAAATTGTTTAATTCATTTCTCAAGTTCACCATGCAGGTTTTATGTGCCACCCATCTCATCCTCATTAATTAGCTCACTCTAATACAGACTTCCATAAGCAGTTATAGCAACCTCAGAATCTGCTGCAGTGCTGTGGGAAGCTTGCTGTAACAGCATGTGGGAGCAAATGTACTTGTAATGGATGCCCTGAAATACTGGGCAAAAAGTATAAATTATGAGCAGTTCTTGTTTGCAATGTCATGTGACCCAGAAGAAGTTAAAATTGAATAGTGAAGATAGAATGAAAGCATGGTACTTACCATGATAGAGCCATATAGAAGTAGCATGCAGCTGATGAGATGGACTGTCACTATTGCAATGGCTATGTACAGTGCCATAATCATCACTGTGAAACAAAACAGCATGGTTACTTTCACATTATATTCTGACAATCCTGTAGGACTAAGTAGGAAATGTAACCTGCTAATGTGCTTTTTCTGGCTTAGTAAAATAAAGGTATGGGTAATTTCTCATAAAGAAAATGCACTAAGCATTCTTATAAAACTGATATTTAGAATGAATCTGGGAATAGCTAATGCCAGAATCTGAAGAAAAGACCAAAAATATTGGTCTTTCATACTGAATTTTATAAGATACAGCCATCATACCAAAACAGTATGCTTAATAAAAATTATTTTGTGTGATTTGAGGTTCTCATATTATAACTATAAAGATACCTGTCTTTTGGGGTGTGATGCCCATGCAGTCTGATATAAATTTACTGACATTTTGGAGGAACATTTACTGGAGAGTTTACTGATATTTCTGAGAAACGTGCTGCTTCCATCTTCAGAACAGAAGACTGACCCTTGTCTGTCCTGATGATGAAGTCAGCATGTCAATCGAAAATATCGATGAACTTCTACCAGACTTTATTGTGTCACATCCCAAAAGACAGTTATGTTCAGAGATGTTTTAACTTTTGAAGTTTATGACTTTTACCGGAAATGTTTTTATTGTTTCTAATATCAGGCATAACATCAAGATGATAATTCAGTGATATAGATCAAAATCATCTTTTCTTGTATTATAAGGGAAGGAGGATGAAAGATGGTGCGTCCATATACTAATGCCCCACTTCATCCCTGTTGTACTTACTGAATAAACTAATGGATTTTCATGAAACCTCATCTTTTACATTTTAATTTTCTACTCATAATAATAATACTAGTACATAAACCATGCAATCTGAGATGACAACAACATCTACTTCTCTTAATATGGGGTCCTAGAAATTTGCTGTGGTGACAGATCTTCATAATGTATATAACTTCCGTTAACTAATTCCACATAGCACAATCTTCTTGTGAACCTGATAGGCACCCAGCCAGTCAAAAATTTCTCAACTTCCATGGAGCCAAAACGTTAGTTATTGTGTTCACAAGGACCTGCCACCGGTCCCTATCCAGCAGTGTAACCGTTCTCTCTGGTGGGGAAGAATAGCCACTATCAATGACAAGGGTTCCTTTAATTTTAACTCATTTTCTTATTTTGATGATTGCTGGACATCTGTCCGTTCTAATGTTTGTAATATTTTAATGACTGTCAAACATGACCAGATGAAATTACATGTAGTTTACAGTTGACTATAGATGTAGCTTGCAAGAATGGAAGTTGCTCTATAAATTCAAAGGATTTATTTTCAGATCCATAATTCAGTTTACCAGGTATTTTGAGTAGGAGAATTTAAGCCATTGGTTAAAGTTAAATTATGTAAGTTTGTTATTGTAACTTTTTTATAGGCACATACAACTATGCCAGTTGAGCTAGATGTATTCAGTAATCATTAATGACTTACTTATGTTTCATATGCAAGATTACTGTATTAGAGAATTAATCCTGAAGCAGTATTGCTACATCTCTGACCTAATGCCAAGTATTGACCCTTGTGCAGGCGGATTTCGTTGTTGCTGTAGTAGAATGGTGGCAGGGCATCAACTGAAGCATCCTCAGAGTGGGGATGATATGGCCTCACACCACGGTTCTCTGCAATATCTGCTTCTAACATGGCTGCTATCTCCTGTGCATGGGCCGATCCCAGGAGCAGCAGGAACAGACCAATGGCCGATACAAGCTGGTAACAATAATAAATAAGATATAAAAGTTTGTGATGCTGGTAATAAAACACAACGTTTTGGAGACTGGATTCTGTCTCCATCTTCTGGTAAAACCTACTCAGTTGGGCCCAATCGATAGAGCTAGTCCCTATCTCCAGACACCTGAGCCAGCCCCAAGATGGGATATACAAGGCAAGACACAGCACAAACCATCTGGTAACAACAGTCACATAAACTTTATTGAAATTAATTTGTATCCAAAAAAATTAATGGATACATGAAAACAGAAATGAAAATAACATTGGTAATATTCCTATCAAATTTGTACTGCCTGAAAACAGAAAGACCCCCACAGATTCAAGGCCTAGGTACAGTCAAGTCACCCCTGCAATATTGTAGCTGCACAGTGTAATGCAGATGGGGTTCCTCTCTTTCCAGAAAAATTTTACTGGATCATTGAGTCAGAAAAGATAGAGAGCTACTTAAAACTCAGCAGTGCCTTTTAAATGTGTACATATTTCCTGTAAGGGAAAAAGGTGGCCTAATGTGGAGATCATATATGACCCACTGTCAGTCTGTTTGTGACCTAGTATTGGCACCTAAGTTATTTGACAGTCTTTCCTTATTTTTGATGTGGGAGACTTTACTAAAAGTTGTTGGGAAATTCTGATTTTCAGATTTATTAATCCATGATAAGAAGACCATAAATGGTCTTTTCCTATATCCTGTAAACTGTTTCACAGATTTTACTGAAATTTGATATGGGAAGCTTCCAACAAAAGTTGTAGGACATTTCCAGTTTTCATGTATATTGATCCAAAAAGAAAACTAGTTTACATAACTCCATAAATGGACTTTTCCATGCGTCCAATGAACGCTTCCAGTGCTTTCATTCAGTATGTTACATTCTCACTAATTTCTATTTAATAATTCCCATTTTTAAGTAAGCTTAACAAACTTCATAAAATACTGTTGTTATTTTTGTGTATTACATCATGGAGTACACTCCTTCCAAACTTGTTTTTCGCCGAAGTATGAAATTGAAAGCCCTCTGAACAAGGCTTGGAATACAAAATTACAATTTAAAGCTCAAAAATATATTTTGTATTTTGTGTCTTATTGGTTCAGTTTATCATTTTTTTCTGTTGTTTCTTGTTACTTCATTAGGATTAAGTGTCTTTAATCTTAGAACGTCTTGCACTGGAAATAAATAAACAATTCTCTTCCACATATATAATAGTTTCAGTATAAAATATAAACAAGTATAAAGACTGGCCCTAGACAATGTCAAAAAATTGCCTCTGATGTTGTCTGTTAATTTAACTCACCAGCTCTATAACAGCAACTAGGATTGTGCCTTGCCGCAATGTGAATGCATAGCAGCAGGTTTGGAGAAGTATAGGCATTTTGATTCTCACCAGTGCCAGTCAACCTGTAATATTCCAATGATGCTTCATATGCTCGTATATTTCACATTTTTCATATTTTTAAGAACACTGAAAATTCACCACCCCCCCACCCACACACACACACACACACACACACGTGACAACTGGTGTCAGAAGTTGCCTATGTGATGCAACCAGTAAATTCACGTGCGTGTCGAATTTGGCTAAGACGTTTATTTGACAATCTCTTCTACACTCGCAAATACTTGCGCCTCTAATCTCGGTGAAGTCTCTTGTTCCCTTTGTCGGATGTGACCTTGCTTCTGCTCTAGTTTGAGCTACACTAAAAACTGACTGGTCTCGCCGAAGATGAACTTTTATAACGTGAACTCAGACTGACGAGTGAACATCGTGTTCAAGGGTTCCATTTTATCCACTGGTAGTATTCGTTTCCATGGATATCATTTCATTTCTGGGGAAACGCATTTGTTGTTTAAGCTATTCGTATGCAACGGTCTGCTGGTATTTCTTTTCCACTGAAGTATACATTCTTAATTCAGCCGTTGCCTATCAATTGACGTCTTATCGCCCGGCTTTTTGGCGGCACGCCACAATATATATAAAGGTAAAGCTATCCATGTAACAGGCCATGGAGGCCCATAAGATTGTGAGATGTCGAGGGTCCCATATTTTCTAGACAATCGGCTCATAGATGGCGGTAAGATTGTGAGCCTTACGCGCCGGCCGCCCTTTGCCCCCAGGAAGATTCCTGGTACTCGTTCCTGTTAGAGGCTGAGTCGACCCCAGAGCTTTAGTGCGGCTGGAAGGATTATGTCAATTGAAAAAGAATCCACCTCATACGGACTCGAATCCGCGACCTTCCGGCTTGTAGCATAGTGCCTAAACCAACTACGCTACCGCGTACCCCCATATATGTATATATGTATATATATACATACATAGCTGTACAGCGAGTAGCTGTAACCTAGTTAATGAAATAAGTGCAACTGCTACNCGAATCCGCGACCTTCCGGCTTGTAGCATAGTGCCTAAACCAACTACGCTACCGCGTACCCCCATATTTGTATATATATACATAGCTGTACAGCGAGTAGCTGTAACCTAGTTAATGCAATAAGTGCAACTGCTAGACAATTTAAAGAAGAAAAGTAATGGGTAGTACAACGGAGACGGCCCAACAGATTTAGTGTCTGAGAGTATGTTCGTACTTTGTCATTATGAAAATGAAAATTAACATTAACACCAAGATCTTATACACAGTCATCTCATGTGATTGTGGCATTGTCAAGGTAGTAATTTAAATGTATTGAGTGGTTTCGCCCATAAAAGAAATTGCCTCCTCTGTGGTTTAGTGGTCAGAGTTCCTGGCTACAGATCCAGAGGTCAGGGTTCGATTCCCGGCGCTACCAGATTTTCTGAGACGTAGTGAGTCTGGACTGGAGTCCTTCTCAGCCTCGTGAGGATAATTGAGGAGCTATTTCAAGGAAATGGCGGCTCCAGTATAGAAAACTGAAATTAACGGCCGTGGGGATTAGTTGCGGTGATCACGCGACACCCTCAGTCCGCTAAAAAATGGCACTAACTTCGCCAACAAGCAACAGTCGCTCGGTCGGTATAGCTCGCTTGCGAACTAAAATCACGGAGTTTGTTTCGAGTTTCATATATATATGCTTAGTTCGGTGAAGTTTTCACATCACTTTTGTACTTATTATACAGGATATCCCAGGAGGAAAGGTCAGTATTCTGGGAGATCATATTATAGGCCATGCATTTACATGTGTCCTATTCCAAACGGTTTCCGAAATAGAGCTATTTTACAGTACAGTTGCAAAATTAGTGATAAGAAAGAGACATTACTTCCTGTTTATAATACAGGTATTTATTGTTCAGGTGACAAAGTTGGTACAGTTTACCTAGTGCAATACATTATCTAAAATCTCACCGTCAACATCAACGCACTTCGCAACTCGTGTGAGGACATGGCGTGTTGCTCGCCTGAGTGCATCTTGACGTCCCTGTACAGTGAAATAGCTCTGTCTCGGAAACCGTTCGGAACAGGACACACGTACAAATGCACTTACTTAGAATAACCGTTACTATGACCTTCCAGAGTATTGACCTTTCCTCCTGGGACACTCTGTATATCTGATTATAAAAATGTATTACCTTCAAGGCCTTAATTTCACGAAACATTCTAAGATCGTCTGCACATAAAAGACCGTCTGAATGGTAAATTTAACTCAACTTACGCTAAAAAAAATATTAAATAGAAGCGCTCTCATTGGAGAGCCTTGTGGCACTCCTGATAATATAGACAAGAAGTTCCGAGAAGGACTAATCGCTTAGTTTCCTTTGAGGCTACACGGACCGCATAGAAAACAAAGCCTCCAACAATTCTTGGTTGCCGCTGGAAAATCTTTGCTGAGTTATTACCCAGCAACGATATGAGGATTTGCAAGTCGAAATCAAAGTTAAGGTTATTTCACGACTGGCCGTTTACCGCCAGTCAGTTCGTCTTGGCGTCAGCCCCTTGAGAGCCACGACCCGAGATTTTTCTTCAACTAAACTCTTGCGGTAATAGTCCTTACGTAACATCCTCTCTGACGATAAGCTGTAATGAATACCCTTGGCTATTCGTCAAGTGTATATTTCGCACATATAACATGTTATTGAAAAGTCTTCATTCTGCACTACACACAAGTCCTCTGTTAGTACAGGTTCTACAGATTAGATCATGCCTATCTTACTGTCTTATGCTACAACGGCAGCTTAGTCACTTGAACGGTCATAAGCTTGACCACCGCCAAGTTTAAGCCCCTTATATTTTTAGGATTTACATACAGACCCAAAGAATTACCTTTAATAAGACACGGACCGCATAGAAAATAGAGCGTCCAACAGTTCTTATATTGTTGTCTTACTGTCTTATGCTACAACGGCAGCTTAGTCACTTGAACGGTCATAAGCTTGACCACCGCCAAGTTTAAGCCCCTTATATTTTTAGGATTTACATACAGACCCAAAGAATTACCTTTAATAAGACACGGACCGCATAGAAAATACAGCGTCCAACAGTTCTTATATTGTTGCCTGTATTCGTTGAATCGGGAATGTGTTTATGGAGCCGTTGTATAGCACCGAATGGGGGAACACATTTAGCTGAGTCATTGCCTTACAACAATAGGAGGGATATTCAAACAGACACACAAATTGCTGGGAAAGATTTAGGAAGTGCGCCCTTGGTATGGACTGAGGTGCCATGTTGATAACTATCGAAATTCTTAAAGATTAGTTGAGGCATTCAAAAGTTGATATGTGGGGGGGGGGGATTCACAGACAAAGACAGGATTGAGATTGCATAAGACCGCTTTAGGAAAGTAGACTGAAACGGAAAAGAAAACACAAAAGAGAAAGATTACGTGTTAAATAATTTTGGCATCATATAATATAAAGCGAAAATAGTCCGTAGAGATGATTATGATAATAATAGTGATATCACTGTAAAATATTATATTGATTTCCTGTGCAGTTTTCGTATGTCCTATCCACATCAGTGATACCAAGGGAAGCAGGACTGCAGTAAAGAACCAGTTTACATATGCCAGTTAGCGCAGTAGTTAACAGTAATCTTACCTGAAGAACTATGGGGGTGCTGTAACAGAGCTGCCTTCACCCCTGCAGGACGGAACCTGGACACACGTCTGTCCTGGAGGCCGTCTTCCTTGTCACAGCGGAGCCCTGGACATCTGCGTCATTCCAGGCTCAGCAATCAATACGCCGAACGGACAGACCATCTTCGCTGAGAGGGGGAGGCGACTTCTCTTCCGAGCATCCCCGAGATACAACCCGCGGTACCATTCACACAAATCAGGGCCCCAGAATCTTAAATGCTGCTGGGTAGGGCCAGCACAAGCTCAAATACCGCCCAAGGCGACGATAAATCCCGACCCAAAGGCGGCAGTATCACGCGCCCTCTTTAGTTAAAAACGAATTAACTTTCTCAAAATTTCGCCATAATCAATAATACGAATTTCCAGACAATGCGACGAAAATCTCCATTCTACTAAACTGAAATGAAACGGAGAGTTTCATGGAGGCAGGCCAAGGTCCAAATTGGGGCTGTAGCGCGAAAGGAAAGAAAAAAAAATGTAAATTTACACCTGCCCTTAATTAATTTAACACCACGCCATGAAGACACGTGGGGAAGTTGACGTGTAATTCTACCATTCTTATCCGCGACAGTAGATGGAGGTGTGGTTAGCTTCAAACCCCTGCCACCTTAACCTTGGGGAGACAGGCAGCATTACCCATTGTCTGCCGATCCGGACGTTATGGAGGAGATATTTCCTAACTTATGGGAATTGAACCCCGACTCCTTGGTCGTCCAGCCCGTAGCCTAGTCGCTATACCGACTTAGGCGCCGTGACTCTATATAACAGGAAATACGATGATGAAATTTACTCCCATTTTGGAGTAAGCACCACTCCATAAACACATACGGAAAAGTGGATGCATATTTCCATTCATTCTTAACCTTCGCACTAGATGAATGTGAATGGTCAGCTTCACGCCCCAGCATCTGTGTCCCCGGGGAATGAATACCACGCCCAATGGATAGGAGGCTGAGTGGGTCCTAGACCCTGGATGCTGTGGAGAAAACAAAAATACCTTGCCCCTGCCACCAATCGAACCCCTTTATCTCTATAGTCCATCATACAATATATCCAAATCTCTATACTACTGAGAATTGTGTACAGTTTAATATTTTATTAAACATTAATTTCACTCTTCTTATTTTCGAGACCTTACATCCCATCGAACCGACACTCAAGACCGACCGACGGTCAACTCGTTGCGCAGCCTGCAGTTCTTTGTATAGACTACATGCTTAACACAAAAGTCGGAGAAGTTGCGGCCCTCTGGCGCTCTGCATTGCACCCGTGACAATACATGACAGCGGTTCGCTGTTTGAAATCGTGTCTCTTAAATCTGACGTTTGAAGTTTTCTGTTAGAAGCGAGATGAAAATTGCGCAGATGTTCTTGAAGGTCTATGCGTATGTAGTAAAGTTCTGAGAGTATTTGGATTAGCGAGAAAATAGCGGGTTAATAAAGAAAATGACACCAGAAATTCCATCCCTAATAGTATTGTAGCATACATAGGCAAATGAAAAGTACAAATGGAATTTTTGGAGGATAAATCAAACGGAATAGTGTGGGGATGTAATGTTAAAATAGTTCTTGAAGAAATAGGGTTAAAGTCTGGATCCAGCTGGCTTAAGACACGATTTATTGCCGGGCTCTTGTAAGTACAGAAATGAACCTTCAAGTCCCATGAAAGGCAGAGGGTTTTCTGGTCATATGATTGGCCATCAGCATCTCAACAGGAAATTTTTCCACGTTGTTAGTAATGATGTCTGGATTACTGGTAAAAGAGAAAACTGAAACACGCTCCTGATATTCTAATTGAATTGTACAATGATTCCATCTTAGAAGAGGTCCCGGGATAGCGCAGTCGGTATAGCGACTGGCTACGGGCTGGATGACAGAGGGGTCAGAGTTCGAGTACCTATAAGTTCAAGAATTTCCTCTCCTCCATGTTGTTCCGACTGGCTCTGGAGCTTACCCAGCCTTCTATCCAATGGGTACCGGGGGTTGTTCCTCGGGGGGTAAAACAGCCGGAGAGTGAAACTGACCACTCACCTCCAAGTACCGCCGAGGTGAAGAAAACGTGGATATATACAACCACTCTCCCCATACGTCTTCATGGAGTAGTGCTTAGTTAGAGAAACACAGGAGTATCTTTAGTTTTATTTACCTTTTAAGATCTTAGACGAGGTAAAGGTAAAGCTATCCGTGTAACAGGCCGTGAAGGCCCATAGGGTTGTGAGACGTCGAGGCTCCCAAATTTTCTCCACACAGTCGGATCACGGATGGCGGTGAGGTTGTCATCCTCATGCGCCGGCCGTCCTTCCTCCTCCCCCCTTCACGAAGATTCCTGGTACTCATTTCTGGTAGAGGCTGAGTCGACCCCAGGGCTATAGTGCGGCTGGAAGGATTAGGTAAATTAAAAAAAATCCACCTCATTGGTACTCGAACCTCCGACCTTCCGGTTTGTAACATAGTGCCTCAATCAACTAAGAATCATGTTGTAATTATCAAAAAGTAAACGCTGATTTGTTTTCTTTTGTGTTCATTGTACTCAATAGCAACTAAATGAGAATTAGTGAAATTTTCTCGGGCAATCAGCCACTTCGATGCATAAAACGAAGAACATGATCTTAGGCTGTCTGCTGTCAGGGATTGATTTTAAAATCCACCCAAATAGCCGAGGTATGCTGCATCCGTATGTGTGTTTGTGTGTGCGGATATGCTTCGTATGTGGCCTAAGCATGTACCCACCCATGCATGAATTCATGCATTCATATATCCACACAAGCTGATAAACACATTGATGATAGAACCGGCTACAGCTACCGAAATGTCTAGTGTTTATTTTATTTCAGAAAAGCAAATCGATCGAAGAAACTTAATTGCAGTTAATTTCATCGTAACTTTAGTTCTGCAGGAAGCCCAAAACATAAAAATAATTGTATGTAAAAAGTAAGTAAAGCTATCCCCGTGAAGGCCCATAGGATTGTGAGATGTTGAGGTTTTCACATTTTCTAGACAATCGGCTCATAGATGACGGCAAGATTGTCAGCCTTACGCTCAAGCCGTCCTTTACCCCCAAGAATATTCAAAGAATATTCCTGGTACTCATTTCTGTTGGAGGCTGAGTCGACCCCAGGGCCACAATGAGGCTGGAAGTATATTTGAAAAAAAATCCAATGACCTCATCGGGACTTGAACCCGCGACCTTCCAACTTGTAGCATAGTGCCTCAACCAACTACGCTACTGCCTTGAAATAAAATGCTGTCTCCGTGCTTAACTAATTAAGCACTACACCATGAAAGAGAAGTGAAGAGTGGATGTATAGATCCACATATTCTTGACCTCAGCACTAGTTGGAGATGAGCGGTTAGCTTCAGGTTCCGGCCGCTCTATCCCCGGGGAATAGGAGGCTGGATGGGCTGCGGAATCGGTAGGGCCGTCGTGAAGAAGAAAAAGTTTGTTTCTACCGCCGTTCGGATTACTTCCCCCCGGCGGTTCAACCCGTAGCCAGTCGCTATACCCGACTGCCTGCTCTTCAGAAAATAAAACATTCACTATGTCAGTAGTTTTAAACGTAAATAATAATATTTCATAAGCAGTTTTCAAGCATATTTATTATATTTTGTGATACAGAATGTCACACGTGCCGATCGCAGTGACCGCGCTAAGTCATGAACTGTCTTCACCCGCTCGAATTATGGGCTCGTGAGTTCGAATCCCACTCAAGGCATGGATGTCTGTGTGCGTTTATTCTGTGTTTGTGTTAATCTGTATGTAGGTAGTAACATTCTGACGGGCTTATCACCCATCCAAAGAGTCCTACCGACTGTGTAAAGTATTAAGGAAATAAAATGCACCCTAGGTCTAACAAAAGACTGTATAGCCATGGATAGACAGACTTGAACAATAAACTTCTCATTTTATTTTAAAAATTACATCAAAGAGGTTCATATAAATTTAAACAATTCATAAGCATAAGTTATTTCATAGTCGTATGCAGAAAGGAGAATAATGTTCCTTCCGCTTCTCATTACATAGCAAGTGCGTCCTTATTTTAATGTTTAAGAAAAGAATATAACAAGTAGGGCCATCATATCCACTTTCATGGAAATCGGCCAATGGGCACACAGTAAAATGCATATTCATGGCGAATGGTAATTCATTAAAGAAGAAACATTGACAAAAATAATTATGAAATAACAATAAACAATTCTCTAAAATTAATTGTGACAATAATTGAGACATTAATGTTAATGTTTCATGCTTTTCAATTACTTTGATTTTTATTGTGAATTTAGTTACAAGTATATTTGTTGTCCTGCCTCTTCACAACAATGGAATCAGTTTTCCGGGTGCGGCATTCCGGGAAACCGGAGCATCGGTTCATGACGCAGTTTTGTTTACAAGAGAGTACTGCGCAGGTGTGAAATCGATCCACAGCAAGTGTCCTTCAACTAAGGTTAAGGCCAAACAAGCAATTTTTTGTCCTTTTGCGCGTCTGTGCGGAGACGTGTAACTGACGTGCAGAATGCAAAGGAGAGAGATCAACGCGTGGTCAGACGGACGTGAAAATCTCGAACATATTTCTAACCGTGCTGCGTACTTAAGGTATCCCGAAAGTCAAACACAACGTTATCCATTCCAGTCGGGGTTTTTTTTCGGATTGTCATGAAAACAGCCAGCCCCGTGTCTATAAATACTTCAAATTTTCAATCTGATAGGCCACTTGAATAATTTTGTTTACAATGGATTACATTGGAGACTTTGAAGTNTCCATTTTCTCCGCCCTTTTAACCTACTCTCCTTTTTTTAAAGACTAAAATAAGGTTTATGAGATCACCATACTCTATCATACGTCTGTGTGTCGGTAGGTCTCCCCCTGGCAATTTCTGAATACCTGAACCATTTTTTTTAACTTGGTCTATATATCATGGCACCCATCTCAACAATATACTTCATAAATCCCTCTCTTCAGTCTATGTATCCTCCTTTCGTTACTAAGCAATGGCCCGGTAAGAGACCTTACCGCGGCAACGAATACACAAGTAATAATACAAAGATTGCTAGAAGCGTCGTTTTCTACACGATCTGCCTTTTATCAAAGGAAAGTATGCGATTATCTTCCCATAACTTCTTGTTTTGTCTTTGATGTGAAAACAGAGTTATATAAATTTCATCTATGTAATCATTTTATATCTGGGTAGAATGTGTTCACTAGAATGACAGAAAATTGACGAAACATGGAAGTGAAAATGTCGTCTGTGAGGATGCCGAATTTCTTTTCCTCATGTCCGTATATTTCATGTCCGTTCACCGACGGCGTGGGTCCAGCCTAAAACTAATGAAATGAGAACTTCACCCGGCGTAGTGTCTTTAACAGTGCATTTCATGCCATCATTGCATGTCAGAAAGTTACAGAACTGCCGTTAAATTATTAGTTCAAAATCTAATTATAATGAAGAATAACAAAACTATATTATACTCCAAAAACCAGTTAGGTTATTTGTCTTGTCATAAATGCAGATAAGATGACCTGTAGGAATACACCACGAAGCCAAAATCCACAGCGACATTATAACACAGTGTAGCCGTCCGCCGACGTACAGCTGCCACGACTGTCGCTCGAGCTTGAGTTCTTAATCACAGGATACTGGTGTGTTAATCTTTGCATAGTCCTTCAAGTTAGCCGCTCCGCCCCCCCCCTAATCGCTACCCTACAGTTAAACACGTATTTCTTCTATATCTACCATTCAACTATTCCCTATCCTGAGCCAGATCTATCCAATCCATACCATACCATCTTATCTCTCTAAGATTCATTTTAATATTGTTCACCCACCTACACCTAGGTCTTCCCAGTGGTCTCTTTCCTTCTGGCTTTCCCACCAATATCCTATACGCATTCCTCTTCCCCAATTTGTGCTACATGCCCTGCCCATCTCATCTTTCTTGACTTGATCATTGTAATTATACTTGGAGAAGAGTACAAATTATGAAGCTCCTCGTTATGCAGTTTTCTCCAAACTCCTGTCAATTCATCTCTCTTCGGTCCAAATATTCTCAACACCCTGTTCTCAAACACCCTTAGTCTATTTTCCTCCCTTAATGTCAGAGACAAATTTTGATACTCATACAGAACCACAAGCAATATTTTAGTTTTGTACAGAACTATTAGGCTTATTTTAGACTCTATCCATTGTCTGGTGTGTGTATGTGTATATGTATACGGTATGTATCTCTGATGGAAACAGAATTTTCTTTCAAGTTTACCCACCTTCAGCTTCCCTAAATAGAAGTATTCCATGTATGT